AGTTTCAATTCCCATTCCCATTTCCATTGCCATTTTTTTAGCTTCATACATGACACTAGCAAATCCAGATTCTCTATAATTTTCGAGAAACAAAATAAGTGCTTCTAAAAGCTTGAAGGCTTTATCAATATCCATGTTTTCGGCTTGAAAAAATTTACTCACGGTATTAATAGCATGCAACAACTTATACCAAATGACCATGCCAAACAAGAACTCAAAATTCTCAAGTTCATATATTGCTAGGGATTCAGCTTCACTCTCCGTTTTCAACATAAAGTTGCCCACAATCTCCTCGAAATGCCAAAGCATTTTTAGCGAGCCTTTTCACAATGACAATTATCCTCGTCAACAATTGTTTCCAATGCTCTCTTTTTTTGTTGATGGCCAATTATACGCTTTCATCAATTACATGTTTTGTTTGAAGCTTATTTTCCAATTCCATCCAATCAGTCGTGCAGCTTATATGCTCCTTAGACACTTCGTGATTTGTAAGGCATCTATGCACATTATGCCAATCTTTGTATCCGCCATTATCCAATTGACCAATATTTTTCATCATTTTTTCTGTCTTAAACAACTTATAGCAAAAACAAAAGATCTTATCTAAAGAAGTCGAATATACTAAACATCTTCTATCAGTTGTATGCTCATTTGCAAGTACTCGCTTATATTGTGATGATTCAAAATGTTTACCTTGATTATCTTTGGGAAACAATATATCATCGACTCTTTTTTTGAACCCATTTCAACTAAAAAATCCCTTGTCCTTTGATCAATATGAACGTCTTTCCAATTTCCAGGATCCTCAAAATTCAAAGTAAAGCAATTCGTTTGATTTAAATCTTTATCTTGAACATTATTTTCATCATTCTATTTTGGTTCATCCACATGGCATGTTCAATCGTTTTCTCGTTCTCTTTTTGTCCATCTACATTATCATTCTGATTCTGTTGTTCCTCAAAACCTTCATTTTCTTTGCTTTTCTTGTTATTAAAATATGTATCCATATCTCCGGTCTGATTTCGAATTAATGCCTATACTTTCTCCCTCTTCTTCCTTTTTTGAGCTCCAGATGCATATTTAGGAGCCATGGTATTTGACTCAAGTGACTCAACAACTAACGGCCACTAAAAGGTGAAAAAAGCAAAGCTTAATTAGTTTCCAGTTTCCATACATAAGGCTCAATATATCAAGTATTACATTGACCCAAACATGATGTCTCAAAGATTTTATGCATATAACTATATAAGATCTAGAAAGACATAAACATAACCAGTAAATCACATATTGGAGTAACAAATCCAGATAAATAATAATACATATTCAATCACACTATCACATATTCAATTTATAAAATCCCATAACTAATAGTCTAATATATGCAGAATCCATCCATTCATTATCCAATATCCATTTAAAAGAGAAAAATAATGTTTCAACCAGCTGCAATTTCATGGTTTTTTTGAAGCAAAGAAAGATTAGGAAACTTAAAAGTTAAAAACTATATAACATTGACACAGTAAATTATCCAAAAAGGAGTGCATATCCAGAGAAAACCTTTACACTCAAATCTCAACAACAAGAACCAATATTAAGCCATTATAATTTATAAGTTACTTGGAGCCTGTAATTGAAAGGAATTGCTGCACTTTGTCCTGCTGCCATCTTCCCAGCTTGTTCTGTAAATAACACCTCAAATTAATCAATTTCATATCACCGGGAGCGGGATAAGAGAAAAAAAAATCTTTTTTACTCTCAGGTATATCTTTGCCCAAACGAGCAGTAAAATATAATAAACATTAAACATCTAATTTCAATGATAAACAATTAAAGACAGATGAATGTTAAAGTAGAAAAGAATCTTTAGTTGAAATTTTAAGTTTTAACTATTAGAACCTTTAATAGATGGAGTTTTTGATGCCCATGGGCCACGGCGGACGGAGGAAACTCAGGCGGAGCAGTGGAGGCGGCGCAGTGGAGGCAGAGCAGTGGACGAAACGGCGCAATTAAGGGCCTGAGGCGGACTGAGACTTGGGAGTTGAAATGTTGAGTTTTACACTATTTTAGCTTAATTTTATATTTAAAAAAACTCAAAAAAATGGGCCCTCGAAAATTTTGGGCCTAGGCGGTGGCCTCTTAGGCCTCCCCTCAAATCCGGCTATGTTTTTATTAATTCTCAAGTGAAAATGGAGTGTATTTTTATAAAAATAAAATAAACAAGAAGTTTTCGTTTTTCTAAGTAATTCGGGTTTCAAGAGTCCATACATTTCTCACCTTCGAGGTATTTATAGGCACCTGTTGTTACGCATACGTTCGGCAGTTAATGATGCCACGTGTCCCACATAAACCTCCCCACTTCCCCCATGTTCTGGTGGAATGATCCCCCCCCCTCCTCAAAGGATTGGTTGTACCCACGTTTGTCGTTGAGTAGTTCCTATCTAGCTCATTGTCATTTGTATGCCTAAGTGTAGCATTAGCCTCATAGTGGTAGATGACATGTGTAGACGTAGAGGGCCTCATGGGGGTCAACGGGCTTATAGTGGTAGACGGTCTATGTGAATGTAGAGAGCCTCATAGTGATGACAGGCTGTAGGGGTAGACGACATATCATGGATGGTCAACGGTCTCATAGTGGTAGACGTCCTACGTGAACATAAAGGGCCTCACGGTGGCAGATGGCCTCTGTGAGAGTAGAGGGCCTCATGGGGGTAGAGGCATCATAGTGGTAGACGGCCTCATGGTAGTAGGCCACCTCATGGGGGTCGACGGTCTCATAGTCGTAGACGACCTCATGGTGGTAGGCAACCTCATGAGGGTAGGCGACCTCATAGTTGTAGACGGCCTAATAGTGGTAGATGACCTATGTGAACGTAGAGAGTCTCATAGTGATGACAGCATCATCTGGTAGACGGCCTATCATCTGGTGCTCTACGTGGAGTGTATATCAAGTGACTTTCACCTCACTGGCCATCTTGAATAATTATTAATGACATCCTGTATCTTCCTCTACCAAGAATCAGTTAAAGCGTCACTCTATCCTTCCTCATAAAACCCCAACAAAACAAGAAACTACAAGTAAATCAGACATGAATTGGAGGAACAAAGAGAAAGATAATGGAGAAAACAAAGAAGAGGAAATGGGCAATGACAATTTACAACCAAAATTGAACGAAACATCACTTAAATGTAAAACGTAAGAAACACATGGATATGGATATTTGGATTTTCTTGTTTATTCCCGAAAAAAAAGTATATGGGTTTGCTGGTCATTGTAAATTGAAATATTACCTTCAAGAATTTAACTGAAGTTGGACCTAGGGTTTCTACTTTCATAGAACATTATATATAGCATGCATGTTTGCATGTATCTGGATTTCGTCTATGCCGATTTCTTTTAATCTCGTGTGAAAACCTTCTCGGATTGCTTAAGAACTTCGACTTATCCTTCTTGGGTGATGGAAGATAATTGTGTATTTTTTATGGAAAAATTTCGAATACCATTGTACGTAGAGAGAAGTATTCTCATTTTCTTCAGATTATTTGAGTGTCTGATAAATAAATAAAGCTTTAAAGAAATTACTTGCTACTTTGGGCTAAGATAGAGTTGGAGCCTTGGATTTAGAATTTGTGAAAAATCAATTCAATTTTGAATCATTTATTATCCCAGAATTTCACCCTAGCAATCGCAGGCATTATATCGGTAGGCTAATAGAAAAGAAAAATATGAAATGGCAAGTTGTTGAAGTCACGCTTTGGTTTCAGCTTCTAAATTGGGATGCGGGAGATGTTTCTTCCTTTTAGTTTTTCTACAAAATGAAATGAATTGCTTTCAGTTTTTCAGCAAAAAGATCTTGGTCCTGTGCATTTCGCATATTTCTAATTTCTCAATCTTTTCATTTGAATTCTATGCGCAAGCTTGTGTTGTGATTGCTTGTTTGATCATATGGATGCTAAGTGAGGCCAATTTGTGTTCCTCCTGGTGGTATGTTGTGTGAATTGACAAATTTGTACACGTGCTTATTTTCATGATCTGCCACGAAGAGGTACACGATATCCTTCCGTTGCTGAAGAACTTAAAAGTCTTGCCAGTGCAGCTTTACACTTTCGAAAGGTTTTTTTTGTCCGTGGTTTAGCTGAGAAAACTACAGCAGTAACTATGTGTGACGTGAGTGATCTGTCTTTTGATCGTTTTTATGTTTTCTCAGTGAATGCACCCTTTAATACGGGTCTTGGTCACCGAATCATCTAGCAACTTTCAATGGTCATCTTTTAAGTATTCTACTTTTATCAACTATTAAACCGTAGAGATGGTTATTATGATTACAACATTGAACGCTATAAATTAACTTTGTTAAGTGGACTTCTTCTTCAGACATTTAAAGAGCATGGTGAAGTCAAACACTATTATGTAATTTTTGATCTAGCAACTGGAAGATCCTGTGGTTATGGTTTGTTGGGAATTTTACCCAAATTCAATCACAATAGCAATAATAAACAAAAAATACGCTTTGCAGAAAATGGAAAAACACCATAAATGTTGACCCAGTTCGGCAAAGCCTGATATGGGTGGCTTAGAGGTAAATGAGTCCGTCACTATCCAAAGCAAAGAACCTTCCAATAGAGGGTTTAAAGACAAGTACAACCAAGTTCAGACCACAACAACACACAGGGTCATCGATCTACAAACGGATCTCCCAAATCAGCCTACACTATACAAGAATCATCAACTTCACAGTCAAAACAGGTACAGGTTTACCGGTTTAATTTGGAGTTCAAATGAAACTCAAATTAAACCTAAAACACTGAACACAATTAAAAAACTACACCCAAATCCTTCAAGCTCAGTTCTAATTCTCAACAGTAAACCAAGATTAATACAACTCAAAAATGAAATCAAATCCTCTAAGAATCACCAGAGAATCGCCTCACAAAAAGAAAAAGTTGAAAAGCCGTAGGAAAAGCCAGAAAAACTGACGCCTTAGGAGCCGCAAGTGAAAAACATGGTGCGATGGAAGAGGGCTTCGTCGAATATGAAAACAACTCAAAATATTGCCGGTAAAAATCATCCACATCTTTATCCTATCTTTATAGGAAACTAGTTGATTGTGCCATCGCATCTGATGGATTTGCATGTTTTACATGAAGCGATTTTGGATTTGTCACATACAGAATTGTGGAGGCTGCAAAAAAGCCCTAGGATGATACAGAAAGGATGCTTGGGATAAGTAGATGAATATCTTTTTACCCCACTCTAGAAATGCATAAACCTTGTTTGATTAGGATCATAGAGATGGATCATTCTGAAAACTATTTGTTGTTAACTTCTTTTGAAAGTATACTTTACTGATCATAAGCAATTGTAATTCTACATTGACTAGATAAATGTCCGTAAACTTTCTCTGTTTTCATAGATGCAAGCAGTTATTTCATGCTCTTTTTTATGTGATTGCAGGGGAGAAGTATTACCGTGAGGCTCGCCAAAAATTACTGCAGTGCTACTCAATCAGGCTTACCGGTGGTAGCTGGATACCCGTAGGCAGCATATTCAAATGCTCTGACTGCTTCTTACTCAAGTTTGCCACCAGCAGTTGCTCAATGCTTGGCACAACCTTAAATTTCTTATCCCCATATGCTGTCATGAATGATACTTCAACTTCATCTTACTCGAGTCTGGCTCCACCAGCTGCTTCCTACTCGGCCCAACCTCAAATTTCTTATTCCCAATATGCTTTTATGGATGATACTTCGACTGCAATTAATCTGCAACATGGTTTTATGAATTTTACTCCAAATGCATCTTGCTCAAGTCTGCCTGCAAGAGCAACTCCATACTCCACTCAACCTCAAATTTCTTATCCCAACTATACTGTAATGAGAGAAACTCTGATTGCACCTCCTACCAAATATATGCCAAAATAGTGACAATTGTTGTGTATTATTCTTTTTAGGAAAATTGTACCGTTGGTCCACTAGAAGACCAGACTTTGGGGATAAGGAGAATTGGCCCAAACACTTTCATCTATTTTGTCATGTTTGATATGTCATACGAACTTTTCTTCTTTTAGGGTGTGTTTGAGTCACATTATTTTGGAAGAATGTATTCTGAAATAGCAGATTGATGGAGAATGTGTGGTTGAAAAAGAATGAAAAGTTATTAATGCGATGAAAAATATTATTTTATTGAAAAATGTGTGGTTGAAAATGAGTAGAAGAATGTGAATGAAAATTTTAATATGTACCAAACAGGGGCTTAATGTTGTTCATCAGACATGCTATAAATGTATTTAAGTATTAGAAAAGGCTGGCGCTAGCAACTTTGAGAACATCCTGCCTCAATCAGGAAGAGAATTACTCGTGCAAGGAGCAAAACAATCTATATATATGAAGATTAGGGACTGGATGTTCTTGTATGTTCCTTTACTGGCCTTGAACGCAAAATCTTGCTACACGGATTTTTTTATCGTTGTGGAGGGACGTCTGAAAATTTTATTTTAATGTACGAGTTCGTGAAAACTTTTGTTTCTGGTGCTTGATTAAATCCATGTATAGAAGTTACATCTTCTCGTGAAAATAATTTTTTTTTTTATAATAAGGTCCACAAGAAATTTCAGGCCCAAGTTTGTACAATAAGGGCCTAACTGCCCCCATCCGCAATCAAGCCCACACACCATTTTATTTGAGGAAATTACAAAAAATCAGGTACTTAAACTTTCAAGTTCAAAATTCAGGTATAGAGTTTATTTAATCAAAAATCAGGTTTTAATTATTTTGATAATTTATTAATATATTAATCAGGGAAAGACAGGACCCAATTCATTTTCTTATCCCTTTCTTCTCCACACACACACACACACACACACACTCTCTCTCTCTCTCTCTCTCACTCTCTCTCTTTCTCTCTCTAAATATTTCTTCTCTACGTTCTCTCTATCTAAACCAACATATTGCCTCCCTCCCGTCGTTATCGTCCAGCCCCATCACCGCCCTTAACTCTCTACCTTGCTTCTTCTCTATCTTTATTCTCAGTTCTCTTTCTGTCGGAAAGGACCCGCCGGACTTAAAGCTGCTTGAGTGGAGTAGCTCGAAACAGCCTGACACCACCACCACCACCACCATCATAGCTCGCTTCATGCCGTTCCTCGTTCTACTCCGACAAACACCGCCTCGTGGTGGTGATGGTGGCCAAGTAGCGCATGAGATCTGTCGGCACAGGCCACCGCTGCGCGAAGTAGATCTGCAAGAAACACCATGGTTTTTGTTACTGTCGTGGGATGTTGACTGTTATTGGCTGTGGTTAACTGGTTATGGTGGTGTTTTGTCGGGGCAAATCTGTGTGTTGTGGTGCAGGTAGCAATTTTCTGATCTATGTGTAGGTAGTTTTCGATGGTTGGTGGACGGTGATGACGATGGTTGTGTAGGTGGTGGTGGAGAAATGACAATTGCAATCGGTGGCGGTGGCGACGGGTTTCGAATTTTTTGGTGGGGGGTTGTCGTGTGGTGGAGATAGTTGAGACTTTTTAGGTGGGGGTGGTTGTTCTGGTGGTGTAGGTGGTATGGGTTGGGATTGGTGGGTTGACGATGGTACATGTGGATGTGGCGGGTGAGGGTGGTCGCAAGTGGATGTAGTGGCGGTGGTGATGGTGGTAGTGGTAGTGTTGGTTACGATGGTACGTGACCTACTATTTGGTGGTATGTGACCAAATATTTGCGAATCTGTGACCAATTACTCAAACGTGACCTAAAAATATAATAATATGTTACTCAAAAATAATATGTAACCTACTATTTGGTAGTATGTGACCAAATATTTGAAAATCTGTGACTAATTACTCAACTGTGACATAAAAATTTCATAATATATTATTCAAAAATAATCTGTGACCGGCTAATTTAAAAATCTGTGATTTCGAAATAATTCGTGACCTATAAAATTTTTGATTTGTAACCTCGAAATAATATGTGACCAATTAATTTTAAAAAATGTGATCTGTGATCTATAATTATGTATACGTGACCCTTATTATATTTAATTAATTAACTAAGACCCGATTTTTGCATTATTCAAACTTAAAATCTGATTTTTGAATTGTGTATAGTTAATCCCTTACTTTTGAACTCTTCCCATTTTATTTCTGAATTTTTATAGGCCAATCTATGTAGCCCACATACGGAGCCAACTCGTGAATCATTGGGCTTACTTAAGCAACAACTCTAGAATTTTGGCCCAAACCCAATACAACTTCACGCTGTTATCATCAGCTTGGGCTGGATTGTTTGAAACATTCCATTCCCTTCGACATCCTCGATGGACGGAACCCTAGTTTACAACCGCCGTAACTGCGGGGGCGCCGCCATCTGGTAACTGCTTACAACCCAAAGCCTAAATAAACTGTCAAGGTATTAATTTTTACACGTAGCTTAAGAATCGACGGTTTACTTTTTGTTTGCCTTTCCTGGATCATATTTGAATAAACTAGCCAATGACCAATTTGCAGAAACTTAGGAATCCCTCTATTATCAAATGGATTTCTTTTTTTTGCACTGAGAATAAGTTGAGATTATCAAAATCCAAATTTTATGTAGCCGGGTCATACCACATTGTAGAGAACCTTAGGTTTTATGGAACCAGTAAGGTTTTTAAATCACAGAAGGGTAAAATTATCGATAATACGTTGCAAATACCACGAGCGGTTAGACAAGAAGCCCAAGCTGCTTTATTAGATTATTTGCATTCCACCAGGAGTTTGCAGTTCATGGATGCTGAGAATATGAGTAGAAATTCACCATTTTTTCTTGGAAAGTTGTTAAAAAGACTTGACAACAGTGAAACAGACGTTGGGCGGTCTGTAACGCGGTTGTTGAGGTACCATCCCATTAATGAGTTTGAGCCATTCTTTGAAAGCATAGGTTTGAAACCTTCAGAGTATTCTCCGTTTCTTCCGCAGAATTTGATGTTCTTGAATGATGATCAATTGCTGTTGGAGAACTACTATGTTTTTTGCAATTATGGCATAGAACGAAGTAAAGTAGGAAAGATATATAAGGAAGCACCGGAGGTTTTTAAGTATGATTGTGGCGTTTTGCAATCTAAGCTACAATCTTTTGAAAAATTAGGTTTAAATCAGTCTATTATTATTAAGGTTATTGCTTCATGTCCTTATCTTTTGTGTGGAGATATTAGCCGGGAATTCATTGAGGTTCTGAGAAAGTTGAAGAATACAGGGGTTGATTATAAATGGCTGGAGGAGCACATGCTTGAAGGCAATTCTTACAGTTGGAACCGTATGCTTGAGATTTTATGCATATTAAGTGATATGGGCTGCAATGAGGAGCAATTGGGAGCATTGATTACTCGGCATCCTGAGCTTTTGCTTGAGAGATCAGGACACTTGACCTATTTTTTGATTGGGTTCTTGCTGAAATTTGGATACACACGGAACGAGTTAAGTACTATGTTTCTGCAGCTCCCTATAATATCAGCTGAAAACTTCGCTACTAATTTGTTGCACTCCTATCATTTTCTGGTTGAAATTGAAATGACTGTTCAAGATATTGGGAGGATTGTTCGTTCCCATCCTGTACTACTGGGTTCATGTTATCTCAAGAAAGTTAATAGCTTACTGGCTAACTTGAACACTGGAAAGAAACGGCTCTGTCATATGATCACGGAAGACCCGAATGTGCTAAAGAATTGGGTCCTTGGAGTTCGAGTCAAACGGCTGCTGCCAGATACAAACAAGACCATAAGAGCACGAATGATGAAAACTGAGTTCTTGTTAAGCCTGGGCTTTATGGAGAAGTCAAATGAAATGGAACAAGCTCTCAAAGTGTTTCGAGGCAAAGGCGTTGAACTTCAAGAGAGATTTGATTGTTTAGTAAATGCTGGTTTGAAACGTGAGGAAGTCATAAAGATGCTCAAATCATCTCCTCACATTCTTAACCAATCCAAGGATGTAATTGAATCGAAAATTGATTATCTTGTAAATGAATTGGGCTACCCAGTGTCCTCTTTGATACCTTTTCCATCATATATCTCTTATACAATTGAGAGGGTGAAGCTTAGACTTTCATTGTACAAATGGCTCGTAGATGAAAAAGCAGCAGATAAAAATTTGGCCTTGAGCACTCTCTTAGCATGTTCAGAGAAAAAATTTGTGAGGACTTATGTAAATTCTCATCCTAGAGGACCTGAAGTCTGGGAAAAGTTGAGAAAAGATATGTAATTGAAACAGAATGAGCACTTATTGTCTCATAGATATGTTTAGGGGAGTTGGTTTGAAAGATGTACATTTCTATCGAAGCTTGCAACTGAAGAAGTCTCTGCTTAAAAAGCGTGATTTCAGTTGAGCTCCTTTCTTATTTTACACATTCAACCAGCATAATATGGGAAAAGCACATAGACTCTCTAGTACCAGGTAAATGTATTTTGAATTTCTAATTGTGTTTATCCATTAATATATGTTTAAAATATTACATTGAAGACAATTTGGTCTCATTGAGAAATAGCTTGACAATTTACATAAAAAATGATTATGATTTCTGTTTTTCCTCTATTTGTCAATGATGTGGCTAAATCATTCAATTTAAAGGATGGTCAAATTTTGAAGGACAAAAATACTAGGATATTGATTGAAAGGTTAATGAAATTGCAAGTTTTTATTCTTGAACAGGTTTCAGATCAAAATACCTCCGGCTTGCTTGTTGAACTTTGTCAAGTTGATTCTACTGCTGGGTGATGAAGAACTCTTTTACCATATTGTTTCTGTGCAAGCCACTGCAACAAGTGAGTTCCCCTTTCCAGTTCCTCATTCTTTAGCTCGCTAATATTTTAGGATATGTTTGGTCTCCCTCCCCTTACCTAACAAGAGAAGGTCCAACCATCCCCCAATCTATTCACCTATCTTCCCTACCAAATGGCCTTTGGAGAGGACAAGTTATGGTAAATAACCGCAAAGAGGTGAACCCCCTCACCCAGCCGTGGTTAAATGGGAAAATTAGTATAAACAAATCTTTTTGAATAATTTTGGTCCCTGCAGTTTCTATTATTGTCTTTGACCCTGAACAGTAGCCAATCCAGATTTTGTCGTGTTGTGTGCACGGGCTCGGGGTCACAAGCCTAATTTTCCAAAGATCTTTATTCTTAATGGGGGATTCATGTGATTGTTTGAGGTTTGGTTATGTCGTGACTCCTGCTTGTGAATGATTTTCACAATGGATCTCAATATTATGATTTCCCAATTATAGTCATGATGTATACGACTTTGTTTCTGCCCTAAAAAATTGGGGTGACTTTTTCCTATTAACATCTTGTGGCAGGGATGCTGCCGAATCCTGGAAAGCGATAATGTTATGGTTGCGAAAAGGGATAAACCAGTCGATTTTCCATAGGCACAAAAAGTACCAAGATGCAGAAGACGAGTAAAATATCTACTATGGAATTTGCATGTCAAACTCATCGCTACTCGTGCTTGAGGGTATTGGCACATGTAAACTACACGCTCTCCCAATTGCTATACTGAACTCGAGTGGCAAAAAAGAATTCATGTAAATGTGAGAATAATGCTTTTCTAGTTTGTTGTAATTGTTTGACATGTGTCACCTGAAAGCTTCTCTATTTCTCATTTATTATTAAACACATCCATTGTTCACCTTATGCTATTGGTTTGTGGTGAAAGGTATTACGACCATTTTGTCCAAAATTTAGCTCGTGGCAAAGGTTCAAACCCACCCTATGTCAAATCCAGGGTATGGAGCCCACTCCCTTCGTATCCACCCCTATTTCAATTATGGCCTTGCATTACTTGCGCCTCGATATGCCTGTTTCTATCTACAAAAAGAAAATGTCTGGTTTTATGTGTGTATATATTTATCTTTGATATTAGTAGTATCTACTGCCAATGACAATTATATATGTTTTGTCTGTAAATCCCTTTCTTCTCTTCTCTTCTCCTCTTTTCTTTTCTTGGTATACTAGATTTCCCCTCCCACCGCCACGCCACCCTAAAAAGAAAGAAATAGCTAATAGAAAAGTGAAACCAGTAGAGTATGTGGACGAATTCATGGTATATAGGGTGGGGGACTGGTAGATTGGTGAGATAGGAACTGCCAACTGGGAAAGTTTATGTAAGGTAATACTAGTCCAAGTCTTCAGACTTTATTTCGAGTATGTAGACGAATTCATGGCATATAGGGTGGGGTACTGGACTACTGGTAGATTGGTGATATAGGAACTGCCAACTTGGAGTCTTGGAAAGTTTACGTAAGGTAATATTAGTCCCAAGTCTTCAGACTTCATGAAATACGGCATTTAGGTTCTTCCTTGGTTTTCTATGACTTGTATAATTTTCAATTTCGATGTGCATGGATTTTTTTGGATGGAAGCCATGTCTCGTGTGTGAGTTATATTATGAGGATAGACCTAATCGAATATAACAATGAGAATTGACATACCTAAATTGAAGGTTAGAAGACTCGTATGGTAACGCAAATTAAATGATAGTTACAAAGCACTAACATGTATTGCATGTGAGTTGTATTACAAGTGTAATTTATTATTTTTTTTGATCCGTAAATGAATTATATTGATCGATATCAGTATACAAGTACTCCAAGCATACCCAAGTGAATCAACAATGCAAAGCAATTAATAGTGCAAAAATAATTGGAAACCAATTACTATGGGCATACTCAAATCATCAAGACATGAAAGTAGAAGATACAAATCACTCCACAGCTAATGACTCAAAACATTAGGATATAAAGAGAATATAACTTTTTATACATGTGTTTTGATTCGTTTTACAATGCTCTCTACATGTGGTCTCAAATTTTCAAAAATCAATCTATTCCTAGCCATCCAAATGTAGTAGACTGTGCTAGCCAAGGCAATCCTTTTGGCTTTGTTGTGTCATGAGGTCCTTCTAGCTTCCTTCTTCATTCACTTTAGTGCACTAGCCAAGGTGATCATGGCCCTTGTGATACCCAACCAATGTTTTATGCTTTTCCAGACTCTCGAAGAAAATGAGCAATCAAAAAATAGGTGGAGGCAGGTCTCCTCGTGTAAAGTCCAAAAGATGCAATTGCGTTCAATGTGCTCAATATTCAAGTAGAGCAATTTTTCTTTTGTAAATAATCTGCCTTGAGCTCCCAACCGAAGCGTGAACGAATGTTTTGGGGAGATGAAATGCTTCCAAACCTCCTTCGTCCGGCACCTAATGTTTCCTTTCGGCCTAAAGAGTTCATAGGCCCTTGTCACACAAAATTCGCCTCCGTTACTCACCATAATTTTGATTGGACTCTATGATTACAAGGCCTAACATCCATGGTTATGTGAATGTTTTGAAAATCAATTAGGACATTAGCCATGAGAAGATAAATGGTCAAATCAAAATCAAGTCAAGGTGGATTTCAGCGATGAAAAAATTCTTTAATTTGTAAATAAACAAATTGATTTTTGAGGTAAACAGGCTATTCTCGGCATGTTTTAAACAATTTTCATTTTATGGGTTTTTAGTATAATTCAGGGGGTGTTTGTTTTTGATTTGAGAATTGATTCTCAAATCAATTCTCATTTTCAACCACACATTCTTCAATAAAATAATATTTTCCATCACATCAATAATTTTTTCTTCTTTTTCAACCACACATTTCCCATCATATCACTATTCAAAAATCACTTCTTC